TCGCGTGTACTACTAAAGCCTCATACCTGCACTTTACTGCGTTCACACTTCCATACCGCTTTAATCACCCTTTAATTATTATCACTACATTAAAATTATCACCTTTATTATCAATTACCTAATCACCTTATCACCATTACTATCTCCGCTGTTATCACTGCCCACTGTCACAGCATCACTATTTGCGAATCTCGCGGTACTCAGCTCCAAGCCACATCCGCTTCATCCTAATTACTATCATTAATTATCATTAAGCTATAATTATCACCTTCATTATCACCTCTTATCACTAGCACTACACCTCATTTATCATTGTCACAATATAACTGGTTGTCATTCGGCTCCAAACCACACCGTTCCACTTCAAGTTCCATCTAATCACAACTGCCAACTTTATTATCAGTTACGTTATCACCTTATCACCAGCGCTATCTCTGTTGCCACCACTATAACACCACTACCAACGAATCTAACGGTACCCATACGGTTCCACGCTGCACTACGCCTCACTTCCCTTCCCATTTCAAGTATCCAATTATGTTCATCTTTCATATCATTATCAGTTACCTTATCACCCCTTATCACTAACACTACCCTCGTTATCACTATCACAACAACTTTACCAACGAATCTGCTGATTTCCACCCATTTCCTAGCCACATTGCCGCACTTTCCATCCCGTTTTCACTATTACCCCATTACCATTAATCTTATCATTATTATTATCACTATTCTTATCACTACTGTTATCACTATCACCCCTTTCAGACTGGAACGTGAGCTGGAGAGCTGTCAGGTGGATGTCCGTGAAATCGGCGCCCGTACCAGACGCGTTATGGCTGCCACCGAGGAGGCGTTAACGCTAACGGATCCACGCGAGAATGCCTTCCTCAAGTTGCATACCCAACCCAAGAAACTCCTCAAAGGTTAGTGCTGGCCTCTCCCCCCCCGGTCTTCCAACTAATAAAACAAGACTCCCGGACTGTATATCTTATAACTTCCCAATCTAACAATATCAATTTACCCACATTTTCATCAATAACTCAACCCAATCTCATTACCACTACACAACACATCAAAAACCAACTCCCTATACCTCTCACAAACCATTAAAAAACCATCAAAACAACCAAAATAAACCACTCCAATTCGAAATTTCGTTACAATTCCAATCCCAAACTCAGCCTCAAACCGAAATTTCNCCCAGCCAGTACCTACACCCAAACCCAACTGCTCCTGCGCACTTTCGATGTCTCCGGCAAGCCTCGCACCAGCGGTGGTGACCCGATAAAAGTCGAGATCACCACACGTCCCCAGCCAGTACCTACACCCAAACCCAACTGCTCCTGCGGACCTTCGACGTCTCCGGCAAGCCTCGCACCAGCGGTGGTGACCCGATAAAAGTCGAGATCACCACACGTCGTCGATCCCCACCACCACCTCAACCACCGCCAACGTCATCAAATCACGAACAACATCGACGACGGAACCCGTCGGATCGGGATCAATCCAATCGATGCTCTCTAAATCAAGATCCAAACCACGCCGACTATTCAAACCCACAAGATCGGGACCCAGCTCGAGTCCGAGACCGAACTGGCCATGACCGCAGTCACGACCAATCCAATCACCAACCACCGCTTTCAGGCGGCTCAATACGCCCGGCCCAAGCTCAAGTTCCAGATCCACCAGACCAACGACGATCCAACAACACTAGCAGCAGCAGAAGGCCACCATCAGATTCCCTATCAAATTCCTCCGCGTCAACCCCACCACCACCCACTACATTCACCCAGTCCCATCTCCACCAAACCATCACCAGCTGCAGTACAGCATCCATTAACACCAACATCATATCAACAACCAATCACACCGACTCGAATCACGATTCCAGTAATCACTCGAATATCGGCCAAGAACGATCACGATGGATCAACTCTGCCACCTCCTCTGTTAGCGCCACTATCAATGATAACGATGACGGTACCTACACAATCTCCTTTATGTAAGTATTATTACTATATACCCTACAATTATCACACATCTTATAGTTACTTCTCAATCCATTAATACAAATCCTATTTAATACCCAAATTAGCATACCTCAATATAATATCCTAATTAACATTCTAATTAATATACCCTAAATTAAAACTAATATAGTGATACATATCTTAATTAATTAATCAATTACAGTGACAAAAATTAACGCAACAATAAAGACATAAAAATTCCAAACAATATCAGCAAAATTCCACCACCAAAATAACCTAAAATTAATTTCAGTGCATACGAGGCTGGTGAATACGACGTCCACGTCACCATATTTGGACGACCTATCAAGAATTCCCCCTATACAGTCGTTGTGAGCGGACATCATGCACCCAGGTGGCAATTCGGCTCGTTTGGCTTGGGTGAACTGCAGTTGAAACAGCCAGTCAAGATCGTGCAAGACCATAAGGGCTTCTCCTACATTCTCGACACGGGCAACAATCGAAGTTAGAAATTACTGCATTACTTTATACTGTATTACCAAATTACTGTACGCATTACCGTATTACCAAAATACTGTATACATTACTGTATTACCAAATTACTATACCACATTACTGTATCATCAAATTACTGTATACATTACCACATATTACTTTACTACATTCCTTATATCACTATCTCTCTTTATTTGTTGCATCATACTCTACTTATTAAACAACCTAAACCACCGTTACTATATTACTTTTACAGTACGTTATCAAACACGTTACTGTACTACCAAATTACTTCACACATTAAAACTATTACTTTTACCATATAAGTAATAATAATAATTACTACTTCAAAATACATTTCCAGTCAAAATGCTCGATGGAAACGGTGAGTACCTGGACGATATCCACAGTGAGGCGCTGAAGGACGCAAGTACCGTCGGTATGACCATTCTACCGTCGGGGGACATCCTGACCCTGAATTGGCGTACCAAGGAGATCACCAAATGCACACATAACGGTGAAACGTTGCAGGTCTGCTAAAAATTCCCCGAAATTTTTTTCAAATATCACCAAAATTGCCCCCAATAAACCTCACCTAAACCTGAAATCACTCCCACCCTGTCGGAAAAAAATCATTTTCCATGAAAAAAATTCCCAAAATCTGAAAAAAACTTCCAAAAAATTAAATCCAACATCTGAATTTTCTCGTCTTCAGGTCATGAGTTTCTCTGAATTTATGGAACCAATCGATATAACCGTTGACAGTCGAAGCCGAATACTAATTGCTGACACTGGATGCGCGAAGGTATGCACCAAAATTTATTTAATAATAAATCAGATAAATACAAAAATAATAATTATTAAAATCAGTAACAAATTATTAAGAAATAATAATAAATCAATCAACCACCACACCGACCCGCACAGCACCAACCACAACAATGAAAACAATACGCCTACCCAATTAATTTTATAAGATATTCCAAAACTCCAATGGGGTGGGGACAGTTTGCCAAACCTAATACCGCAATCTGGTTGGGAATGAATCGCCACACCAAACTGCTAGGGACGAAACGCCAAATCCGAGAGTGCCAATTTGGCACCACGCCAAACAAAAATTTATGCATATCCGCGTAAAATATACTAAAATCCGCGTACGAAACTCGTAAAATCACGATATTTCAAATAAAAACACGTAAAAATCAAAATATTCTTCAGGAAAAAACCCTAAAACTCGTAAAAATTTTCACAAAAATCCCAAAAAGTCCCACCGAAACCCCATCAATCACCATTCCCCCTTTGCAGATATTCGTGTTCGATGCCTCATTCAGGCCACTGTTCAGTTTCGACGTTGGCGCACACTGCGACTCCGCACCCGTCACTTGCGTCTGCATAGGTCTCAACGACGAAATTCTCGTCGGTACATGCTCTTCCCTACTGCTTTTTGATCCCGGAGGTCGGTCGGATTTTTTTTCCGCGAATTTTTTTCAATTTCAGGTCAAATTTCCACAATATTCCATTCATCCCCCCCAGAGAAATACCCCTCCCCCTATTTCCAGGTTTCAAAAAATAAAACAAAACTCAAACCTCGTACCCCAGACCCCCTCTCAAAATACCCCCGAGCCCATAATAACAATCCAGTGACAACAAATAATAACGATAACCGCAATAACCTATCCACCAACTCGCTTCCCAATATAAGACTGGTGCAATATGACCGGATGCATTACGGCACACTCCTCTTCACAACATTTTAAAAATCACCACCATTAAAAATTAAACATTTCAGGTCGTTTTCTCCGTGATATTTCAGTGAGTGCCTCCTCGTCCACNCTGCACCCGGCCTCATTTCCCCCCTCCCATCGATCTCGTTTTCGGGTCACCGCTTGTGCTGTCTGTCAAAGCACCGGTGACATCATATCTGCGGTCATCGACGCGAAAACCAATCGCGCTCATCTGGCCGTCTCTCAATATAAGGTGGGTGTGCTATGACTGGGTGCTATACGATGCAATACCTCTTTAAAATAAACCCATATCAATCCATACCGATTGCAATACACCTTACTTAATTTCACTTCAACACCTTACTCCATTTTACTTACAATATACTTTACCTTACCTCCTCTTACTTACTTTACTTACTACTATATATTTCACTTACCTAAACATCCCACAATCTTCATAGCCCATACAGGTTTCCATCCTGCCCAGGGTTAAGATCTGGGTCAGCCCATACCCTCCCTTCATACACATTCCCTAGACCAATCAACACGTCATCACAAACCAATCCAATTCACTTCAGAACATGAAAATTCAAAAAATTCAAATTCATTCCCTCATAAACCACGTTCATATAACACGTTTACACAATAAGATAACCTAAAATAACGCAAAATAACATCCCTAACCTATTTCAGGGTTCGTTCGTGTTCGCGTTGGACAGCTACGGGTCACGACTGCGATGTCCTTGCGGTGTCCGAGTGGGTACACATCGTTGGACCGGGATGTGCCTGGTTGTCGACTCCGCAACGCATTCCGTTAAAGCCTATCAGTTTCGGTGATAGGCGTCCAAACAACCGATCCACATCAACATCGAACACTCACTCTACAGCGTAAACCAAACCAAATCAAATCAAACTTAATCAATGTAATCCGACTAGGTTCCGCCGATGCCGTCCTATCGGTCATATTGCCGCATTCCCCCTCCAAACCTCCCATCCATACTGCTCTATATCACCAAACTTTCTCGTAGATCTCTCCAAGACGTCCGAGAATCTACTTCCCTACCCATTCCTGTACCATTTACTGGTTAATTTAAACCAGGGAAGGATCTAAAAATCCAGTAGGTTTCCGGGGGGGAAGAGGGTAAGAGGCAATTCAGGTTCGGTGGAAGGCTTAGCACACGGAATGCGTACATTAACCTAATTCAAATCACCGAAAACCCAAATTAAATCATTTAACGATTACCAAAAAATACGACGATCACGACAACGAACAATATGAAACATAATTGGAAATATAGAACAAAACAAATCCCACCACACCATCCAAAACGCAACCACACAGGAGAAACGCATCGAATAATAATGAATAATTCAAAAAATATTTTATCCATAAGCGTGCGCGTGGGTGCGCTCAAGTGCGCGCGCGCAATTCATGGGTCCCGACACGAATTACAGTACGCGTAATTCGTGGCGAGACCATGACGCCTGTTTGAATGGCTCTTTAGGCGGGTGATTTCAAATGTGACCCGATCGCGTTTTTCATAATTTCGAACATTTTACCCAATACAGCGTAAAAATTTCCCCGGGAAA